CGAGCGGGCCCATCGTATTGTAGTCTGTAACGTTAGACTGGGTGTTTAAGTATATAACGCGGAATGTTCAAATATCTCTCTCATATAATCAGAATAACTTAATTTATATGATCATTATGATAATTATGAAAGATCTACTTTCACTTAGACGAAAGTCTGTTCGGCTGAAATACATCTTAAACATTTTATGATTTCTCTCTCACACAAGTTACAACATAAAAATGATTATGTTGTAACTCTCTCGTGTTTTGTAAATATAAAAAGATAAGACAGTACGGATTGAAATCGATGAAGGACCACTTACATGGACCCTTCCATGGTTCAAAGCCTGCCATGAATATTCGTTGAAAACAGCTCTCTCACGCTTTCACCCAATTACGTTGCCCTTAAAAAATCTCGAAAGATCTAATCTCAGGGTCGTCGGAATTTTTCGGAGATACGACAGATTGTGATGGATTAATAAACAGTATAAAACGGGCTTGTAAATTCCGCAAGTACGTACATGATTTTGCAAAAGTTGCGTCCCATTTCTGCACACAACTTCCTACTATGCATCCTGCTAGAAAAATATTATACTTCCAATAGAAGAAATATCTCTAAGCTTCCGGTTGACTTATCCACTTCTACAATCAATGCCGTTCCAGCGCCAAAAACGTTTGCGTCATACAATCATGCGAAATAATTATTTGACAACGAAATGCAACAACTAAGAATGCATATTGCCAATACGGATCAAAGACTCGACGAGCATATATGGAACGATCATATGTGAAATACACGCCAGTATTTGTGTAATTTTATTGCCGTTATTACAAGCATTATTAACTGACCACCAATACCCTAGAAATGCAAGAGTGACTCATATCCATAGAATAATACTTATTATGACTCGTCAGCGATTTAGTAATCACCAACTAGTTTAACTTGTTATTCCTATTCTCCCTTTTACGTAAAAAACATGCATTTTTTTTCTGAGTCTTCCCGAGTCTCAGATGATATGTTAATAAATAAGTAGTGTGTTTCATTTCTTGTTACAAATAAAATTTCCCGAGCGCTCCCTTTCTAGTGAACTGGAAAGAGATAAGAAATCAATCATGAATGACGGTTAGTTACGTTGTAAAACCGTAAGTCGATAATGATCCTGTTCGCGCGATTGATTCGCTAGACTCCAAGCGCGGGTGTCGGTCGTTCCGTGTGCAAGCTCCATAAAGGCGTCACGCTCGCTGAGCAGAGAGCCCTCCTTGATCCAAATTCCAACCCAGAGGGTCGGAGGTCGAGCGGAGGTTCGCGATCTGATTTTCATATATACGTAGACGAAAGTGAATAAAAATGACAACGCACGGCAAATTGCGAATCATTTACGATTTTTCTGCTTCTTAAGAATGATCTCTAATACTATAATAGAAGTCGTAGCGGTCGTAGGGTCTTAAGCCGTAGAAAATTAACCAATCACAGTCGAATATGAGAAGAATAATCGACTATGATTGGTCAATTTCCTACCCCGTATAACTCACGCAAATTCTAGTCGCACTTTTTTCTAGTCTGACTTTATTCCAGCTGATCCATTTTACGTTATGTATCTTTTTACGAGGACCATCGTATTATCATATATATATATTAACTTTGTACAGTTGTACACACACCAATGAATTTATTGAATTTATTATCCGGTAAATATTTCTAGAAAATATTCCTGAAGTAGTGTATATTTATTATTTAGCCAAATGCCTTCTTATAGTATTTCAAACAAAAGAAGTGCATTCAAAGAAAGAACGACCCAATCGTGTGTATTAATGGCTGATGTTCATTAACATCGGTATTATTAAACTGCTTGTAAATTTAATTTGTGATATTACGTGCTTCAGTTTCAATTTCGAACTGTGTTACAAGACAAGTATTTGGCGCGTAATTTGCTTAAACTGGAAATTGTAACATTCACGTAAAAATATGAGACATTAATTCGCTTTGACCGAATACGACCTTCTCCGCTTATTTGTATTGATCATTATTCCTCGGTCAATTTTCATTTATAATTATCGTATTGTTACGTCGACATTTATGATATTACTGCTATGTGCACAACCAATTTAATCTTATTTAAACTCGGCATCCTCGTCCCACCGTATATCAGGCAACGCAGAGGTTACTCCTAATTCCTATGGACCGCAACAATGTGTCCGTGATGGATCAATGCGGTCGGCACGTGATTAATAATTCTCATTTCTTCCAATGACGTGTGCAAAAGGACTCGCCGACGTTCAAGCCGATGATCTTGATGAGGTTCGTGGAAATGATGGAGTACGGTAAGTGGATGGAGAAAGAAGAGATTTGGTAACGGGAGAGAATGGTAGGGGAGGCGCGGGGGGTGGAGAGATTTGCGGGATTTGCGGGCGGTCAAACAGTGCCAGGGGGGCAGGTAAAACTCTCGTTTCATTTCGCTCCGTCTCGTTTCGGCTGCGCCGCCCCGTCGGTGTCGGCGTCGCGTCGCGTCGGTCGCAGGGATCTTGCCCTTGACACAGTTCTCTCGGTTCTCCGCGCACCCGCGCACTCGCGGGAGAGGAGCGCGTAAAGCGCGTTCTCGCTGTTAGACGAGCTCTCGCGCGGACCGGACCACCTCACGGCGAGGGCACCTTTCCCTGCATACAGTGCATACGCGTGCATGCGTATGCGTCATGTCATGAATTCTTCGTAATTCACGCATTCCTCTCGTAATGAATTTTCGGTTAAGGGGAGGGGGAGGGGGGTCGCGATGAAATATTGGCTGCTCTCCTTTTAGGAGACACGATCTACTCAAATGTCGCTCCATCTTTGTTATTCATTGAATGTCATTGAAGAAGAATTGAACGACATTCGACTATATCTTTTAAGAGCCATAGGGACAGACTCGATTGTATTTCCACGTTACCAAGTTCAGGCAACTGCAGATTGGTTTGGACCATCTCCTAATTTAGATCGTTGCGACGATCGAGCCCAGAAAGCGTTGTGCGGCCCCCAAGAGAACGCTTAAAGAGGAACCGTAGTGCGTCGTGTAGTTTACTTATGTAGTATCTATAGATTTATTTATTTATACGATAAAATGTGCTCTTCCCAATTCGGGACTGTTCTGAGAAACTATGCATCAAGACAAATAAATGTATTAATAAGTTTTTCGATTATGGACATTTTCGAGATTCGATTAAATATTGTAAATTTTATTTTAAACTGAGACCCTTCTTTCGATTATTATCCTTGTCAAAAACTAGAATTAAGATTTATCAAAATAGCTGAAAATTAAAACAATAAACGGAATGGTAGCAGAAAGTAATAGATTATGAAAATAGAGGAAAACAGCATAATCTTAGATGACTTTTGCTACCATTCTGTTCACTATTCCAACTTTTATAGCAGTTTCTGACGCTTTTATATTTTCTCTTCGCGTCTATGTATTTTCTATTTGAGATCTGTCTTATATCTCGCCGCTCTATTTTTGCCTATATCCGATCTACAAGTTTCAGGAAGATCGGCAAATATCGGAGATCGCCTCGTCTCACTTACGACGCTCATGCAGTATTACACACTATATGGCACCCGCGTGCGATACACGCACAAGCTGTGAAATTATTCAGAACAAGCCGAGTAACACGCGTAGCAACCACTCGCGAGCGGTCTTTCCCATCGGTAGATAAGTACATTCAAGGTCAGCCTTTAGCGCAGCCGAGCGTTTCGTCACGGGGAGGACGAGTTGCGCACCTTCCCGTAGCCGCTTCACCGGTGTTGACTCGTCGGTTATCCATCGACTGTTCTGTTCCGTGCCCGATGAAAATCGATCGCGTTTTATACATTATTCGCGTTCACAGGAAATACAGCGCCGTTACATTCGGATAGTTCGAGCCGACGCGACGCACGAAATAATGACGATATGCCATGCCGATCAAAATTTTAAGGATTACGAAACGATTTGCGGTCTGATGCGCGACGGACAACCGTATCGTCAAATTAATGCGATAGCATCGCCAATTAACTTTTTCACCCTCACGTCACATTTCCTACATCAAGTACCTCGTCATCATTTCGCAATATCTGATAAATAACCGGCGGAGATGTGAGGAGGGTGTGGGCCGGTCGGCGGTTAATGAATGCATAATTGTTCCGAGTAACGACGGTTCGTCCGACTTGCTTAATGATCGGCGTAATTATATGACCGGACTTATCTTCATTACCAAAAACACCATCTTAAGATGAACGAGATTGGACGGATGAGTATCATTATGTATTTCTTAGCCGAAAGTTGAGGACTCACACCCTCGATCTCAACGTTCGACATTTTCCATAGCCTCTTTATTTCACATCACATTGTCTACATCGCTCGCGCGATTTATTCTCCTATTATTTATGGTCAAGAAACGCTAAGAACTATTATTGCACTTGACGTGAAATGTGTATGTAACGAAAAGGCGAGAGAAAAGTAACTATTATGATATCTGCTTGTAATACATTGCGTTTCAACTTTGAAGATTTTATTTAAAAGAGTCTAATTCTAACGTCAACTCAGTGCTACAATAATATATATAATAATATATTATGTAAATAATATACAAAAGTTTAAAAGTGATTTAAAAGGAATGCTTTTATATAACACTTTTTTCTCTCTGTAATGAGCAATTTATTAAGAGCGCAATGATTTTTCACCAAATAGTAATAGACTACTTGAGGTAAAAACATGATGTAGAAACCGACAAGATATATGACTTTATTATATAGTAATGATATTTAGACAAAGATACATAAATAACAAACTGCAATATTTGCAATCGCGCAATATATATGTATATTTATCGATCAATAATGATCAATCTAATGATAAACAAATTTCTCACATTACATTCTACGATGACAATAAAAATAAACACTTTTCTCGGAATCAAGAGCGCGCATTCGCTCATTGCAACGGAAGGTTTAACCGTGTCATGGATTTAAAGGTCAGACTCTTTCCACGTAGCATACGATCGAAGATCCTGTGCGGTGTATCCAGCACTAATAACAGAGTCTCTTTGAGTGATTTGCGTTAATGACATTTTTTCCTGCAAAAAATTCAGTCGGAATAAATCCCGGCGAAGTGTAAAGTCAAGCTTTTGTAATTATAGTGTTAGAATGATGTTTTTAGGTCATCGCATATGTTACTCCTCCCCCTCTACGTATCATTTTGGTGTATAAATAGAGCGAAACTTATTATCGGGCCAAAAGGATGAAAAAAATACATATTGATAAAGCGCTTACATGTTATGCAAATGAAAGCTTCTGAATGTGATACGAATGGTAATTAGGTCAGACCGCGCAACTCGGACGATTCCGTCAGACAATTCCGAGTCGTAATATCCCGATCTAATTTATAAAATAAGCCTCACGTTTATATTTACATAGACGATTTGCGCTGTGAATCATATAATTTCTGTGACATTCTCATGATAAAATATAAATGATAACTACATGGCTAATCAATTTGTTGTCTATCAAATCCACGATCTAGGTGATTCTACGAGTTAAGTCTACAATATATACTTTGTACTATCAATTGTACTTATTGATTTTTATAATATTGACTTACTAAGAGCTGGATCTGATACACGCGCGTGAAAAAATACTTACGAATAAAAGCATAATGTAATAGCATTTTAATTGCGGGATATTTATCTTATTGAGAATGTTATTTTATCTATAAATTATAAAACACGCGAGCGATACGTCAAGATTTAGATATTACGTAACAATGTGATAACAACAATAATAAGAGTACAACTAGAATTTTCAGGTTAAAGATAAAAGTTATGATCTAATGTCCACAATTTATAACGTTACTCTGGCAAGGTGAGAAATGCATCGTGCGTCAAAGGGTTAGAAGCAGCGAGTATAGGAAAAACTGGCGAGAGGGAGGGTAGAAAGGAAGCGGGTGAGCAGGCGAGGAAGAAGCGCGCGACGCGACGGGGCCGTCGGGCCGCGGGGGTCGAAGCAGAAGTGGATGGCGAATGGCGGTGGTGGAGGCGAAGGCGAACAAGGGGAAGGGAGGAACGATGGAATGAGGTCGCGCTGAAACTGGGCCAGGTTTACTCGGTAAGTATGTCACCGCTTATTGATCACCGCCATCCACCCACAACCCCTTGCGGCAGCACTTATCGCAGGTTGCGGGGCGGCTCGCGGGGGTGAGGAAGGACGAGAGGATAGGGATCGGAGGAGGAGGAGAGCGGGCAAACTGTTGCAACAGTTTATTTTCATTTATCGTCTCTTCCCTTCCTGCCCTCTTCGTACTCTTGTCCGCGGTATGCGAGAATGCTCGCATTGCTCGCGTACGAAACGAATCTCTCTCTATTAGGCCACGAAATTATACTATAGTGGTCTCTCGACAACCATCGGCAGTCATCGTGTCCGCGAGAGACACAAACAGAAAAATATCATTGTATTGCTAAGAAAAGTAATTACTTAAAAGTATTTACTTTCTTTCTTCTAAGTAACGATTATCTTTAACAAAGAATATTTCCTTGGTAATAATCTTAAAATATGTTTATGAAAATTCATTGTTATATATTAAAAACAAGAATTAATGTTTTTGGAAGAATATTATAAAATTGATCAAAGAAGCGATCTTATATAATAGGCAAATTGAATTTGTTTTAACTTAATAATCTTGATTAAAGTATTAAACTTACTAGGATTCAGAACATATTTTTAATAAACTTGATACTTACGAAAATTGAATTTATATGATTTGCGGATATTTATTTTTTAAATACTTGAAACAATTAATATTTGCGTACAGTATATAATTTTCTGTGTGCAGACAAGAAGAAAAATAAAAGATTTCTCCATTTTTTTTTTCCTCTTCATTCGAAATAGAGCTCATCTTTGACGACTTCCTTGACATATGTTTAGCCTTCGACATCAGACATGAGTTTAGTTTCTAATTCAAATAGATATACACGCAATATTGAATTATTGTATTTTAAACTGTATCTTAAGTTGCTTTCTGAATTTATCGTATTTTTCATGCATTTTTCTTTTTGTCTTACACCGTTCTCTTTTATTTCAAACTGTTTAAAATAATTCTATTATAATTTGATTAAATTAGCTTGTTGATTAATGCGTAACGTTCTCATAAAATAATTTAAAGTTTGTAAGGAATTTTGTTTCGAGCAAATCGCAGCCTCTCTTTCGCTTCCGAGCCGCGCTGCGGATTATACTCCAGTGAATGTAATACGGTACGTAATATTTCCGACGTTGGTCAACAGGTCCTCCTCGGTCTAACGTTTCCTCATTACGTAACGGGCTTTTGGGACCGATTTCACTATTTCGGTTTAAAGGCACAGGAAACGGGGATAGCATGTCTTTGGTAACTGATCGTTTCGGAGAATCATCTTAAATGAATAAATCCATCAGTTCTTTTGAAATGCAACGCATTCTCGGACGTGTCGTAATTAAGGGCAGTCAGATTCGAAATCAGAAAATTGAGAAACGATGCGGCGTTAATGTACTGTGTACATCCGTCCTCCTGTCTTACGCCATACGGAAAAAGATAGCTCTCGGTGTAGCCTTTGAACGTCGGCTTTCGTTGCACGAAAGGTAGTAGGTAGGTACTTGTATACCAGTCGTGACCGACTCGGTATCCCGCGATTACTAAATCGTTCTGTCAATGATCTACAGCGTTAACGGCTAACGTAGTGTCAATTTCTATTGCGCGTCGTACGCGTAAGCATGTGGCATCGTGTATAAGATTAGCTGGAGCGCGCGATCGAGCGCGCAAACCGGTTCTTTTCGGTGTCAAATACATTTCCATACTCAATCAGAGAGCTATTGCGAAACCGCGATGTAAAATAGCTCGCACGATTAACATTTTATTTTTCGAGAGAAGCTGTGTTAAGAGAGCCACAGAAATTGAAGTCGGTATGTTACGAAAGAGAAACTGCTACAACAAAAAACAAAAAGAAATATCCAACTATTCAGTTGAGAAAAGCCGTGGTATCTTTTCACCCTTTTATTTTTACTTCGTTACGACGTATGAAAAGGCTGTCATGTAAATAAACTCTCCTTTCGTGAAGAACATTGCTCACGTGTTATTTCAAAATCGTTCCGCGTTTTTATTCTTTCTCTTCAATCTTTTTCGAAGCGAAATTGAAAGTCTTTTGTCAGTGTAGATTCATACGATTTGTAGTTGATTGTTTGTAGCTCCGTACATAAATCAATTGATTCACGATGATTTGCATTTTTTTATTTTGTTAAAAAATCGTTAGTAAATGAATGGTAATCAACGAATGCGAACTTGGCGAATCGCGTATAGCTAATTCGGCGTTAACCTTACGAAGATACTTAAGGTTAAGGCCCAGTTTCACAACTCACCTCGGTTAACTCTTAACCGAGGTTCAACTTATTCATTGTCTCTTTCTAATTCTAGAATTGGAAAGATATGAGAAACTAAGTTGAACCTCGGTCAAGAGTTAACCGTGAGTTGTGAAACTGAGTCTTAAAGACATTTTTGCAAAAGATATTTTAGGCCTTAGGTCTATTCATAGTCGATTCTAAGACTGTCTTAAGTACAGTCTTAAAATGTTACAAGCCAATCACAGAGCAATCTTAATAGCATCTTAAAACATTACTTGAGACGATTTTGAAGTAAGAACTGACTATGAACACGCGCGGTCTAGAATCTGAACGCGTACCAGGTAAGTTCTTATTAGCTGCGTTCAGCAGACTCGATAGTTGAGTGAGCGCTCGCTGTTATTGGTGCATTCCTCTAGATCATCCAATTAGACTTTTAGATCTAGAAGAATAGCAGCGAGCGTTCACTCAACTGTTGAGTCTGCTGAACGCAGCTATTGTTTACGACAAGGATCGCGCCTCGCGCGTAATTTGAGGTAGGTCGGTAAAGTCAGCGGGAAAACAAAACGCGTGTATCGCGCGACCTGCATTATCTTCGTCGATCCGGCTGCTCGATAAGACAAGCGAGCGGCCCGGTGACAGATAGGAGGCGGTTCCTCCCGCGGTGTAGACACAATCGTCGTCGTCGCTAATTCGAATGAGGAAAGACAGCGAAACTGGTTTGGATGAGCAGTCGGACGCATCGAAAGAATCGAAAGTGACTCCATCCGTGCCGAGCCAGAAATAGCAATGTGCACGGTTTATCTTAAACCGGATTCAGACGAAGCGAATAAGCGCGAACGAATGCGAACGAACGGATTTGCTTCAATGAGGACAAATGGTGCCGCCGTATACTTATTGTAGCGAGCTCTGCTCATTCGCTTTCCTTCGCGCTTGGTTTAGATTGGATCTGATTTTACGCAGCATACTGTGAACATTAACTTAACAATTATTAACAATAATGAGAAAATACGAAGAAAATACAAGAGGAAATAAGCGCTGTAAATCGTACGTTGATATTTCAAAAAGAGATCTTTTTAGACATTAAAAATTGATCACAAAACAAATAATTTTGACCATTTATTCTTCCAACGACGAGACGTGCGTTTCAATTAATTTTCTAACCATCTTCAGCGAGGAAATTAAAATGTTTGCAGTTGATTTACTCTACGAACGCGTAAATAAAGGAGCGCGAATGAAAGTTCATTTCAAATTGTTTCTTCGTAACCACAAACTTGACTTAATTAAATAAATAAATTAAATAATCGATAGAATAATTTTGAAAGCGTGCCACGATGATTATCGTAGGCGCAAGATTATTATGACTATTACGACTGTCATGGCTTTGCATATGCACCGTTAATAGATAATAATTATTGATCATCGAGTGTAAATTCATCGGCATATTAGACTTTATCGATCTGCACGTCATCCGTATGACGGCATATAACGCGAGAGAAGAAGTAACGCTTTTACATAAAGTTATTCAGTAACACTGACTGGAAATTATGTATCCTTGAAGTGTTACGAGGTCTTATCTGTTCTACCAAACACATGTAGGTCAGGGAAAGAAATCTCCTCCGAAATTGACGTTACAATCGCAGGCCATAATGTTTAATAGAGATAATAACCTAACTTCCCAATAAAAGATAACAGCGAATGTATACATATAGTACAA